TTTGGACATGGTGAAGTTAAAACCCAGAGAAGGAAAGAGACGTGCTGAGGACTTGGGATGCGCACAGGGCTGAAACACAAGCCTGGATACATAAGGCTGTGTGTCCCATCCTGAACGAAACCAAGAGAAGGAGAAACAGAGAAATTTGGGGAGATAAATTAGTATCCCATGCCCACCTTCTGGCTGCATTAATTTCTAAGCAGTGCTGTACAATTCCCCAACCTCTTGCTTATAGAAAGAAAACTTTGTTTTCTTGTTTCAGAATGAAAACTTTGGTACTTTGTTTAACATGGCTTTCTGATTTTTTGTTACCTAGTTACTTACTAGACACAAAATATTAATGCCCAAATACAAATGATTTGGGCATAACTATTAACTAAAACAATCAAAGTATATGGATGTGTTATTTCCCACCATTGCCACTAACAGGAAACATATATGTCTGTGTATACTGAAGGCAAAGAGTATTTATCATTTCCTGGCCCTGGCTGAACTTTATATGTTCTTGAAGCTCTCGATTCAGACAAGACAGAAAGCTAAGAACATGATTTAGATCCCAACAAAGAGACTTTGTTAATTTTTGTTACTACTTACTGGCTCTGTACAACCTTATTTAAATTACTTAGTATAGAAGCTGAAGAGATGGCTCAGTGGTTAGGAGCACTGGCTGCTCTTTCAGAGGACCCAGGTTTGATTCCCAGAACCCACACAAGAGCATATTCCAGGAGATCTAATGCTGTCTTCAGGTGGGCATCAGTCATGCATAGAGAACACAGACATACATGCAAGCAAATCACTCACACATATAAATTTTTCTTAAAAAGTTTATCTTACTGGACATGATGGCGCGCACCTTCAGTCCTAGCACTCATGAAGCAGAGGCAAGCAGATCTCTGTGAGTTCAAGAGAAGCCTGGTCTACATAGTGAGTTCCAAGACAGCCAAGGCTGCACATGAATTGCAAAAATACTGGAACCTTCGCATGTTTTGGCTCAATAAGAACTATAGTTTCTTATCTACCAGTGAAATATGTTGACCTTGTTAGTATCTTCCCATTCGAATACCCTGCTAATCTCTGCTAATTTCCATAAAATTATTGGTTGAAGTTGGACAAATGACCAGAAGCAATTAACTTTTCACTGATGATCCAGAGACTTTAACATATTTCTGTCTCACACACACTCCAGCTACCAGCATCCCAAGAGCTCCTCCCTGTATAAGCTGTTTGCAACTACCAAATCATTCCAAATATTTGCTAATGGACACATCCAATGACCTTGATACTCACAAAAGTATTCCAACCTGTTTATACCCTGGGGTCTGTCCTACATGCCTCTAGCACACACACATTCTGCTAATTTTATACACTTGCCACTGGAAATAATTGCTAAATAGTGAACAAATCATTTAAACTACTTGGGCATAAAAGAAATGACATACTATTCAAGACTACAACTGGAAAGTTAGATGCCCTACATAACCTTTCTTCCCAAGAGCTCATAACAGTCAGTTAGTTGTTCTAAATCCTGGAGTGGTTTATAAACTTATTTGGTGAAAGGGTTCCATTTTCCTTTCTGTAGAACTTCACCTTCTATGCAGGTAGAAACAACTATGTGCTCCCTTTCCAAGAGCTGTTTAATTAATGCGTAATCCAGAGTTAGAATGTCCTGTGGTTTGGGAGGATGTCTCTTGGAGATAAAAGGGGATCTTAAAATTCCTATTCTCCAATCCTTACTTTCAAAACCTAAGGAAAAAGATCACAGCACTATCTTTTGTCCTTGTTCTCAGGTTTGGAAAGCCCGCTGCCTGGGAGGTATTCTCTCTGAAATCTTGAACACATAGTTCCAAACTGGGCTTCCTCTCCACAGCTCCCCTGGGAACTTATCAAGCAAAGGGGGCCTTTTTCTCAAACAGACTTAGGCATATGCCTCCCTCCTCCCTGAAGGGTGAATGGCCTGTCAAGGCCCTGGACAGTGCACAGCTTCTCGGGGATCTAGGGAAGGATACTGCAAACTTTCCGGAAGGTCTCTGGGGTCAGATAAGCCCAGGACGAAGATAAGCAAAAACAAAGCAGCTGCCCCTTGACTCCCCAGGCTACAAAAGGAAGCAGAGTATTGGAAAAAACCAAGGCAGTCCTTCACTGGCAAATTTGCAAACAAGTAAAGGCTTGGGTAGTAGAAAAAGTAGGGAAACCCTCCAGGCAAAGGAACTCCATCTGGGCTTCAACATCTGCCCACCATCAAAAGGCAGAGCGACACTAACACTGGAATAAGGTTCCATCTGAGAACAGGGGGCTCAGGGAAGACACAGGTGGAGAAGAACTCTGGCATATGTCAGAGAAACAAAAACACACTGAAGATTAAATAATAAAAGAAAGAGTAATGACAGCAATAAAGTGGCAGACACGAAAGCCGTCCTTCCAGGTCCTTCCACCCCACAGCAGCTGGAAACACTCCCCACTGACATAACTAACTGGGAACAACAAGCCACCAGGAGACAATAGAATCACATGATCCCATGTTCAATGTGATCAGCCCCTCTGTCCCTTCTCCCCAACACCCTGCTCCTTCCTAAGACTCATGGGCTACTAGTGCTCTGCAGAAGAGGGGACCTGGCTGTCGATTCGGGAGACCACTTACCAAAATTAGGCTCCTCCCCAAAGCTGCATTGAGAGAGAGGATATATTCTCAAAGAGAGCTTGTGAAGACAAAAAGGGAAAGTAAAGCCCATGCACGCGTACTCGAGCGCGCGTGCACGCACACACACACACAAAAACACACCCCTAGCAAACCAACCTTTCCACCCTGCTACCTCCGTGACTAGGGTCCTCATCCTCTTCAGTCACTTTCACATGCACACCCACCCACGTGAGTACAAGGACCCCCTCTCTGTCTCTCTGTCTCTGTCTCTGTCTCTGTCTCTGTCTCTCTCTCTCTCTCCAGAGCAGGTGCCACCCCCAGCCTATAGCCAGTTTCTCACCACTGAAATGGTGCCTCTCCCAGGCTCTGTGACAGTGAATGCGAATCGTGGAGCAGCTTGTGAATAATTCCGGACCGTTCCAATTGCACAAGTAGCTCTGTTCTGAACTACAGATTTAGGTCACCCTGAGATTCTGTTCAACAAGCATTTCAAGAAACCTCAGATCTGGGCATGATTTCAACAATTGAAAGGGGGTGGCTGCTATATAAACAGAAATGATTTAATTTTTTAAAAGCACTTGATCAGTGTACAAACCCAGGATGCAAAAAAGGTTCGGTACTCAGAAAGATGAAGATTTAGAAATTTAAAAATTCTTCACATGGTTTGGCCTTATTTCCCCATCTGGAGTTCTGAGCATTCAAGCTATTTATTTATTTTTTTTAAGTAGGGAGGAGGGCATGGGGATGATGAAGTAATCAAAGGATCGTTTATAACATTTTGTTCATTTTAACAGCCCATCTCCAGCATTTCATTGAATCTCTGAAGGCAAATAAGGTGGTGTTTTCTTTTTAAAAGCAGTTTGCTCAAAAAATTTACTTTTTGTCCTGATCTCATTTGTGGGATCAGGATTAAGAAGGTAGGCTTTCAATATATTTTTCTTCTCTTAGATTTCCTTTTTTAATTTTTCTGCGAGCTGCAGCTACTTGGGAAGATATTCACAAGCCACACAGGAAATGGAGGAGGAAAATGTGTCCGCACTTAAAAGCAGTGGACTTCTGGAAAGCTGTCAGACTGCCTCCTTTTGCCAAGGATCTGTCAATAGGTGCCACTCCCCCACACAGAGCATGCAAAATGCTGAGACAGAGTCTATCTGATGTATACCCAAACTTCCCATGGAACACCACTACCTTCGGCAGTTTTATTGTTCGTCCAGCATCTCAATCACACTGTTCCTGTCCCATAGAGAAACAACTGTTAGAGCATACCTGTGTGTTAAAACACTGCTCAAGGGCTGGGGGTGGAGCTCAGTGGAAGGGCTCTTGCTTAGCATACTGGAGGCCCTGGATTAGATGCCCAGCAGGCCAAAAACAAAAACAAACAAACAAACAAACAAACAAAGGCAGGTCAGCATGGGCTTTGTTGTTTCAAGGGACATAAATAGAGCGAGATCCACAGATAATTTAGAAGGAAGGAGAAAAGATACATATCTTGCTATAAAATGTATGCAGCTTAATTTCTCTGGTTGTTTAATCAGTATGGGAAGGAAAAATACCCTCTTTGTCTCATTATTTATTTAGGCAGATCAAAGAGTTTTTCCATCTAGCTTCAAACACTGTGGAAGTCATTTCAGATCACAAACAATACTGGTGAATGAGTTCTGAGAATAGCTTTCCTGGGAAGGCGGGCCATGTGCTGAGCTGGGGCTTTGGCTTCATCTCCACATCCTAGCCAACACACTCTTCCACAAGGCAACAGATCAGACATTGGCCCATCCACAGGCCAGAAGGGAGCCAGTGCCTCTCATGCTTCCATACCGATGGGATAAACAAAAGCCCTAGGCTTCCTTGACATTTTCCTAGCTTGAATGGATTTCCACTAAGCTTTACAGACCAAGGGTGCAGACCCTCCCTGGATCTTCCATTTCACTGGGCAGATGGGAATTGGGTTCTTACAGCAGTTGAAAGCTGAATGGCCCTGTTCTTATCCCATTTCCTGTTCTGAGATGATTATCAAAAAAAACGAGGCTCCTGTCTTCTGAAAACTTCAGAGGAACTTGCAAAGGGTTAAGAAATCACCCTGGGTTAAAGGAGGAAAAAAAATCCTAAACCCCAAGGGGAGGGGCCTAAAATGAATTGCCTCTGGGTAAAAAAAAATCAGGACCTGGAGGGGAGAAAAAGAAATACCAGGAAATGCTAGGTAACTTCTCTTACCTCCGCCTTACTCCACCCCAAGTAAGTGCCTTACCTCCTGAGTCACAAACTTCAAGCCAGGAGGTTCTTTCCCAAATGAAAGAATAGACAAGAGGCAAAGAGGAAGATACCAATGAGATCACAGTCTTGGACTGTGAGCCACCTAGGGCTTCAAACCTTATAGACACCCATCATTACCTACCCCTGGGAAGAGGCCAGGATGCCACACATGACTGTTGCCATTGCTGCCATAGTTCAACCCCTCCCCTGAGCCATGTCCTGAAATTCTACCAAACAGTAATAATACAAATAATAAAAAAGAATCGTAGGATCAGGTGACTAATAGAAATGACAGTGGGTACTTAATGATTAAGTTCTTAGGAAGAACAAAAGATACAACACAGAAGTGGCGGGAGGAGTTTCCACAGCATTTTAGCATCTGGAAGAACTTCTACAGCGATAATGTGAATTTAACCTAGATGCTTCAAAACATGAAGGGCAGCCGCCTAACAAACTGTCTCCAGAACCAAGAAGAAGCTGAGACTTTTGCTGAAGCGGGACCTGAAGTTCAAGGCAAGGAACATTAGGAACTGGCACACATATAATTCTTCCACCAACAATCATTTCTCCCTGGCTGTTAAGTATAGAAAAGTAACACAGTAATTCTCTGAAGAAGTACAAACTAACAGGAAACAGACAGATTGGAGAATACACAAACACACACACACACACACACACACACACACACACACAC